GCAATGATTAGACATGTTTTTTTATTATTGTCATTAGTGATTATCTCAATTTCGGCTAAAAGAATTGACAAAATCCTACACACTGTGCCTTTAACTGTATTTTCAGCTGTTGTCTCCACTTCCAGGCTGCTCAGTGAAACTCTTGTAGTTTTACACAGCTGGTCAGGATTTTGATCCAACCCATCACTGGAGTTCCTGGCATCCATTATTATAACCTCAGTGGATTCCAGGACTGTTGACAGGTCAAACAGATACGGCGGCCATATTTCACAAATCTGTTTTCAACGAGTCTCTGTTGAAGAAGCAGAGACCTTTGTGAGCATGCAGGCACCTCGGCGAGGAGAATATTATTGTTATTTGACATGAGGGATTATTTTTAATATGAAGGATAATTTGTCCTCTGGCTCCTTATCATTCTACTCACCTGCTGTGCTCGTGTGTGAGTCGAGAACAGTGTCTGTCTTTGTAATCCCCGGAGAATTCCTCACTGTTCCTCCTTCGTGCTTATTCCTACCCCTAACATACCTGGGAGAGTTCCCAGGTGTGTGCATGTGTGTGTGAGAGTGAGAGACAGGTGGTCTGCAGGTGTGTATATTTGAGTATTTATGTGGACTATAGAAAAGGCACCATCCTTACTAATTCTGACTGTAAATCAGATGGCAGGGCAATTTGGCAACAGCATAAAGGCCTCCTGGTTTTATAACTATGATTATGGTCATGATGAAGACTTGTATTTATTTTAACTATCTGATGAAACATTTGGCTAAAGCCGACAGGTGTTGAGGCAGGTACAATATTGTGCCTGCTGAAGGATCCCACAGAAAGCAAAATGTTGCCCACCAAACAGAAGAAAGGCTTGTTTCAGCGCTTCCTCGTCACGAGTTACTCCGAGCAATTTCTGCTTATCRGATTGGAGTGGAGCGCCACAACGTTCTCTTTGTGGAGGAAAGATGATTTATGGCTGTTAGTCGGGCATAAGGCAGTAATTGCTGCAGTTACAATTATGTTACCATAGCACCTGTTTAAATTGTCCATTCTCGTGTGGATGTTTTCAGAAGAGGAGAGTTTGCAGCTTGAAACGAATATGTGAAGACGTTAAATGAAGTTGGGAATGAGTCTGGTAGCAATTTGGAAGTAAAAGGAGAGCGCGTGGACAGATTTGTGTTGTGTCATCTGATATAGAAGGAAAACAACTTGGAATATTTTCTTAAAATCGAGATGGAAGCCGYCTTTTCAGCA